TACTATAAGAGAGGTTCTCATGGTTTCACAGTCTTGAATGGTAATGGTTTCATGAGTAGTTTCCTCTCTGATTGAAATTTCTTCCGTTCACATAATGGACTTGCTCAATCGTCTCAAACTCATGGGATGAAGTAGAAGTAGCCCTGGTAGAATTTGCTTTCTTCAGAGTTCCTTGTGATGCAACGTAGCTATTTGAATTGTGGTAATAACATATGAGTTGTAAAAGCTGTAATGGGATCCACCTAATAAAGACCAGCAACTTTCTTTGCATTTGAACACCCACTTGACCATTGATAGCTGTTGATGGCTATTTCATCCAGAAGTGAATAGGCCTACAGTCTTGGACACCAAAGTATCCCTTGCTGCAGCATCTATTACTGTTTGTGTTTGACAATACAACCCACTATGGAAGATCTCTATCTGCATCCAGTTCTAATAACCATGCTGAGGGCATCTCATAAGTAGATCTTGGAAGGAGGAAAGAATTTGGTGAGAATTTCTAAGCTATAGAAGTGATTGGAACCATGCTTTGGCTTTATTCCTTAAGGAGAAGGAAAATAGACGGAGCCTGATGGCATCTTCAGAACGCCATTAATCTTCATGGTATCACAGATCTCAACAAAAGAACTAAGATGAGCATTTTGGATCGTCTATTGGAGAACCACCAAACTGATTTTGTACCACCATGTATTGATCCTGGCTTAAGTTTGAAGTTATTTGTAGCCAGAGTTTAGTGTGTAGTACCAGAGTAGTTGCCCATTGACAAATGGCGTGACATAGCCCGCTGTTGATAGTTTTGATTTGCTACTTGTTCTGATTGTTCTGCCATTGACTCGAGTTCGTTTCTCGTGTACCCCTTAAAAATTTGAACGTTTTTTTTGTTCAGGATCAACGAGTAATAGACCAACGCTCCTCGATCTTTACATAAACCTAAAACAACAAACAAGCAAAGTATTTGAAAGTAAAGAAATCTAAATTAAAACAAAAGCTACTTGGTAATAATATTAGTAAAAGTAAAATTAAACAATCCCCGATAATGACGCTAAAAACTTGTCACACGTTTTCTATAATGTAATTTATTCCACAAGTGTACGGTATCAAGTTCTGTAATATAATAATGGAGTTAAAGCATTAAACCCAGAGGAATTGTAATTTAGTTTTATACTAAATACTATAATTAAATGACTCTTATTTATCTAGAAAATCGAATTATAAGGTCAATGGTTTTAAAGTAACCTAGTGATGAATATGGTGACGAATTCAACAAATAAATGTAAGTTAGAAGAATAAATAAGATGAGAAAGTCTAGGGTTATGATTTTGCCTAACTATCAAATATGATTTTCAAAAACTTCGTTATCTGTAATCAATTTTACATATTTATAAGTAAGACCCCTAATGTAATTATACCTCCTTTCTGGAGTGTCGTAATTCACTAGCATCTATCCATTCATTTAGCGACCAATTAACTGAAAGCATTAAATCAATAACACAAATAAATGGAAAGGAAGATTTCATAAAAATAACTAAAATAAATTTAAATCATATCCTCAAGTTTTTGCTAATCAAACCCTAGAAGAATTATTTAGTTCATGATATGAGACATGTAATCTATACAAGTTATAAAGGATAATATGAAGAGTTGAAAGATAAAACTATTTTTTGGATGGTTGAATCAATCTTATTCGCCAAGTTGCCTTTACCTCCTTGATATCTTGAATCTTTCTCCCTTCTTGCCCAGTTGAATTGTCTTCAAAAAGTGGCCTTTAGAGTTGTATTTTTATCGTCATGAAATTTTGGAAGAGTTGGGGGTTGGATTGGACTTTTAAAAGATGAATAAAACTTGAAAATCCCTAGTTGTACGCGGCGTGGTGCCTAGGTGTTGTGACTGAATGCATGGGTGCTGACATTCAGAAAAAATAGCAATGTGGAACCTAGGTGCTGAGGGATAGCGCCTAGGCCCTCTCTTCAGCTTCAGGTGCACTGCATAGCCTTATGTATTTTTATTATAACTTTTTCTCCTGTGATTCAATGGAGATGATTCAAACAGCGTTGGAAAGCTAATTCAAAAAGCTACAACTTCGCTACAAATACCATTTTTCAATTCAAATGTTTGATTCGTCAAAAATGGGTCTCAATATGAGAATAAAATTTTGGAGTATAACTTTTTCGGTTGGAAATTTATGTGTGGTCACACTTTGACTATATTTCATCTCTACGACTTTTTCCTTATCCATTTGACTCCTAGTACTTTTGAATCTTCATTGTGAGGTTCGATATAACTTTTGAATATTTATATTTTAGTCCCTGAACTTTGGATCTTTTACAATTTAACCCCTTTTTTTTTTTTCCAATTTTTCCAACTATTGCTTATTTCCTTCAATTTCATCAATCTATATAACAACATCAAAATACACATTAAAGCACTCTAAAACTCATAAGAATTAGCTAAATATCAAAATTCACAGCTTCAAAAATCAGTAACTTAACAGGGAGAATACAAAAATAGAATAAATTAGGAGCACAAGTTCTAATGCCTGTCATGTTCTGCTACACGGAATATTCAATCTAGAGAGAGAGAGAGAGTTCAACGTTAATTTCTTGAGCTGTTACATACTATTTATAACCCGATACCAGAGAAATTATTATCAGGCTTCCATAACAAAAACAGAACTCTTTAATAAAATTTTAGCCCTTGTTTATAATCTGTCCCAACTATTTTTATCCACGTTTCGTCGTACTACACACTTATCAACCACACATTTTTATCTATTATTCTTTAAATAAATTATAAGCAACTTCCAAGCATGCTTCTTTTTTCTTTCTATTTATAACCCGATACCAGAGAAATTATTATCAGGCTTCCATAACAAAAACAGAACTCTTTAATAAAATTTTAGCCCTTGTTTGCCTCTTGTTTATAATCTGTCCCAACTATTTTTATCCACGTTTCGTCGTACTACACACTTATCAACCACACATTTTTATCTATTATTCTTTAAATAAATTATAAGCAACTTCCAAGCATGCTTCTTTTTTCTTTCCCACGAGTCTTGGGAAGCAGGCAAGCAGCAGCAAATAAAAGACGTTATTCTAGTCGGAAAATGACTTCTGAAACAAATAAAACATATGGGGTGTGCTTGGTAAAGTGGGTTAGAAGGTATCGAATAATATTAAATAATAAAAATAGCAAATATATAGTCTGTCACTAAATGGCAAATCTGATAATACATAATAAGCACACAGTCAATTTACTTCATGAGTAAACTTGAAAATATAGCAATATATGTAAGAGGGGGATTATGATTGATAGTCTAAAACCGGAGAAAGCAAGGGCTTATTTGAAAAAAAAGCTTCCAAATTATCAGACATGAGTTCATATAAATCCCCAAAAGATTCCTCGGTGAAGGCAGCACAGTGAGGTGACAATACAACGTTCTCTAGCGTTAAAAGCACTTGAGGAACATGAGGCTCAATTTCAAACACATCCAACCCAGCACCAGCTATTAGTCCTTGCTGCAAACACTGCACCAGCTCCTTCTCATCAATTATAGCCCCACGAGCAATATTCACAATTAATCCTTCCTTTCCGAGCGCCAGCAGAACCTCCCTGTTGATGAGATGATGAGTTTGCTTGGTTAAAGCACAGCACAGTACAAGGACATCAGATATAGCTGCAAGTTCACGGATGTCTGCATAAAATGGGTATGGAACAAATGATTTCTTCTCCCGTGAGTTGTACGATATTATACAGCCAAATGCCTCGAGTCTCCTTGCGACTTCTATGCCAATGCTGCCCAATCCCACAATCCCAATTTTCTTGCCTCCCAACTGAAATCGTCAGTCATCTTCATGTCAATCGACTTGCAAGAAATCAAGACATTATATTCAAGACTTCCACCAAAATATAATGTATTCTTGTAAACAATTTGTAGCATGCTCAATTTTTAAAACATTCAATGCTGAAACTTGTAGAATAAAACTATATGTAGTCTGAGTTTATTCCATTTGGTTGATGTCATTATGTTTTATTTGTCCTAGTCAAAATTTGTCAAGTATATGGTTGTTACTGAGTCTGCAGGAACAATTCTCCACGTTTTTTTCAGTTGCTATTTCTTGTTTCTAAATGTTGATGTAAGCCTATTTAAAGGCCTCAAATCATTGAATAAGAGAAGTCAAGTAATCAGCATCTTCTGTATTCCAGTATATATCTTTGTCCTCTGTTCCTTAAGTGAGTATCTATCAAAAATAAACAATAACATTTCATTTAAAATTTCACTGAAAGATCTCAGTTTAATAACTGTTCATAAAGAGCAGACAGAGCATAGTTAAGTTTGACTGGAGAAGATGATTATAAAAAAAAAAAAAAACATGCCTCCCAACAATTTTTCCAACTATTGCTTATTTCCTTCAATTTCATCAATCTATATAACAACATCAAAATACACATTAAAGCACTCTAAAACTCATAAGAATTAGCTAAATATCAAAATTCACAGCTTCAAAAATCAGTAACTTAACAGGGAGAATACAAAAATAGAATAAATTAGGAGCACAAGTTCTAATGCCTGTCATGTTCTGCAACACGGAATATTCAATCTAGAGAGAGAGAGAGAGTTCAACGTTAATTTCTTGAGCTGTTACATACTATTTATAACCCGATACCAGAGAAATTATTATCAGGCTTCCATAACAAAAACAGAACTCTTTAATAAAATTTTAGCCCTTGTTTGCCTCTTGTTTATAATCTGTCCCAACTATTTTTATCCACGTTTCGTCGTACTACACACTTATCAACCACACATTTTTATCTATTATTCTTTAAATAAATTATAAGCAACTTCCAAGCATGCTTCTTTTTTCTTTACCACGAGTCTTGGGAAGCAGGCAAGCAGCAGCAAATAAAAGACGTTATTCTAGTCGGAAAATGACTTCTGAAACAAATAAAACATATGGGGTGTGCTTGGTAAAGTGGGTTAGAAGGTATCGAATAATATTAAATAATAAAAATAGCAAATATATAGTCTGTCACTAAATGGCAAATCTGATAATACATAATAAGCACACAGTCAATTTACTTCATGAGTAAACTTGAAAATATAGCAATATATGTAAGAGGGGGATTATGATTGATAGTCTAAAACCGGAGAAAGCAAGGGCTTATTTGAAAAAAAAGCTTCCAAATTATCAGACATGAGTTCATATAAATCCCCAAAAGATTCCTCGGTGAAGGCAGCACAGTGAGGTGACAATACAACGTTCTCTAGCGTTAAAAGCACTTGAGGAACATGAGGCTCAATTTCAAACACATCCAACCCAGCACCAGCTATTAGTCCTTGCTGCAAACACTGCACCAGCTCCTTCTCATCAATTATAGCCCCACGAGCAATATTCACAATTAATCCTTCCTTTCCGAGCGCCAGCAGAACCTCCCTGTTGATGAGATGACGAGTTTGCTTGGTTAAAGCACAGCACAGGACAAGGACATCAGATATAGCTGCAAGTTCACGGATGTCTGCATAAAATGGGTATGGAACAAATGATTTCTTCTCCCGTGAGTTGTACGATATTATACAGCCAAATGCCTCGAGTCTCCTTGCGACTTCTATGCCAATGCTGCCCAATCCCACAATCCCAATTTTCTTGCCTCCCAACTGAAATCGTCAGTCATCTTCATGTCAATCGACTTGCAAGAAATCAAGACATTATATTCAAGACTTCCACCAAAATATAATGTATTCTTGTAAACAATTTGTAGCATGCTCAATTTTTAAAACATTCAATGCTGAAACTTGTAGAATAAAACTATATGTAGTCTGAGTTTATTCCATTTGGTTGATGTCATTATGTTTTATTTGTCCTAGTCAAAATTTGTCAAGTATATGGTTGTTACTGAGTCTGCAGGAACAATTCTCCACGTTTTTTTCAGTTGCTATTTCTTGTTTCTAAATGTTGATGTAAGCCTATTTAAAGGCCTCAAATCATTGAATAAGAGAAGTCAAGTAATCAGCATCTTCTGTATTCCAGTATATATCTTTGTCCTCTGTTCCTTAAGTGAGTATCTATCAAAAATAAACAATAACATTTCATTTAAAATTTCACTGAAAGATCTCAGTTTAATAACTGTTCATAAAGAGCAGACAGAGCATAGTTAAGTTTGACTGGAGAAGATGATTATAAAAAAAAAAAAAAAAACATGCCTCCCAATACAGAATTGGGAGATGTTATATGTACTAAATCATTTACCAAATGGATGACCGAATTGATAAGTGTCGCGTCCTTATTGGAGTGGACAGGCGCCCCTCCAATAGGGGGGCGCCACTTGTCAATTCGGTCAAAAATTAGGTAAGACATTTGTTACAAGTAGATTAATTCTAAAAAATTAGATTGGACATGCCAGTTCAATATAATGAAAAAATAATGGTACTTATAGGTAAACATGCACCAGTGAACATATAAATAAGAAGATTAAAAGAGCTCTGTCAAAAGCATCATTGTAAGGAGTTAGAGAGAGATGTTCTCAACCTAGTGAGAGAAACACTTACTTCGTCACCCCATGCAATTATGAGCTTCTTGCTTCTTGTTCGATTTTAACTCTACTCTTGGTGATTTCGAATTCAAAAAGCAGTTTTATGTTAAGTTTGTCCAAAATCATAGTCATTCTCTTTGAAGGTTTGAATTTCGACCAGCACTTTGTGCATAGTCATTGAAGATTCAAGTGCTTTTTGATGAAGTTTTTTACTCTTTTTTGCTAAAATATTCAAAATTTTCATACCCATCTTTGAAGATTTGAATCTGGCCAGCAGGTTTTCTTGTGTTGTTCTTGAAGATTAAAGCTGTTCTTGAAGCAGTTTTTACTCTCTTTGGTAAAGATTTCAACTTTTTTCCCCCCTTTCTGAAAAATTTGTATTATTCTAGCTGTCCCTGCAGCTTCCAGCACAATTTTATGCATTTGCTCCACATGCAAAATGCTTGGCCAAACAATTCTTGGTTGCAATCTAAAAAAAAACAGATTGCAGGTGAAAAAGGTAATCCTAGCATGGTTAACGCCCCCAAAGAAATTGGCTGTTGCTATTCAAACCTGAAAAATGGTTATACTTGTGGAGCAGCCAATTGTCTCAAGTGTTATTAGCTTGGACAAAGACGGAACAGAGGATATGCATCAAGAAGTTCCACTATGTGAGATGTTTATAAAGAAGAAACGCAACAACACTCCAAAGGGACAGATAGCAGGAAAATGTAACCAGCAGAATGGGGTGTCCGACAATAGGGACCACTCAACTGGGAATGCAGATTTTGAAGGCCCCAGCTCAAAGGCAGCCTCTAATGAAAAGATCAAAGGGAAACTTGATAAGCAACGAATCATAGTGACCAGAAAAGCTAAAAAGAAGGACAACTCCGTGTATATTTCTTCAAGAAACTAGGATTCTACACTTCATGTTCTCGATTTATCGAAGTTGTAATGTTTGATTCATTTTGAGTCTCTTGCTTTGGGTCATTAAATCTTTTGTAATGCTTGTTTTATAAGCTCGGGCATGCTTGGAGTAGTTGTACTCAATTTTTGATCTACACACATTTATTTACACGAAAAAATAAAAAAATGAAGAAGAAGAAGAAGAATATTAATAATCCTCCAACATCTTAATCCTCTGCCACATCTCAGCCAAATGCAGTAAAATACCACTTCCATAAAATTACAAGAAAATAGACAGTTTGTGAGTTGAGTAAACAAGCCAATGAATTCAAATCTGATGCCAATAATCATGTAAGCATATCAACTTAACTGATTTCATCCTACGAAAGATAAGAGGCAGAAATAATCACACTAAACTACTGTTGATAATGAGCATAATTAGTTGTATTTCCAAGATGATAATAGAGAATGACTCTCATAACACCAACTTCATCTAAAATAGCTCATAATCCAAGCTGGTTAGTAGTACGTTTAATGATGGTGAAGAGAGTAAATGGCAAGTCCCCACATGATATATCCCATAATATCGTGTAGCAAAACTTGAACTAACAGGCCGTCTGCTCCTTAGCTTCATATATGTCACTTCAAGGTACAACTAGATATTTATACATGTCCCTGATGAGGAGTGTACCACATCAAAGGGGCCAAGTACTTTTAATCTTTTTTGTTGACTAACTGAAGCCTTTGAAGCCCTGCAAACCCGCCAGATGAAGTTAAATCTATGAATATCTGTGTTTCAGAGATCCATCTATATGTTCCATGTCTTTATAGTCACCAACAAGGGTTTGGAATTCAGCCTTGAGGAGAAAGCACTAAGATGGATAGAACTTCTCCCACTTTAGTAAAAGAATTTTCAAGGGCTGAATGGAAACATCACCTCTCTTGCAAGATTTTTAGCCCAAGTATCCTGAAAAGTATTTTCCTTTCTCGTATAGATTCTCCACGGTGAAACAAAGAGTTCCTTAATAGACTAGTGGCAAAAACTTTTGTGCAGCTTGAGTGCACTAACTTTGTTACCTTTAAGAACAAAAATTATTATACTAAGAATTTCCAGAAAACCTAAATAATACTTTGTAAGTTTTTGACACAATACCTAGCATACTTAAGTTTCGAAGTATGCATGATGCCAAAAAGACAAGACTTCACTAAGCGTTCCAGAGAAACATAGGTATATGAGTTGAATAAGTATTACCTAAAAGAAAAAATGCAGCATTATTAAGTTTCAAATTATTCCACTCTTGCCAAACAAAAAACTTGAACATATTTGGGCATTGGTCTTGAATGCTTAATGATAATATTTTTCTTACAGAATGTCTACAATTTGTCAATAACCTCTTTTTCTTCTCCTGGTACAC